ATTGCAGCAAAGCCTTCCACTATGACCTGCACATTTCCCAGGGTCAGTACCCTTGATATCAGCAGATCTTTGATTGCGTGGGCTACTTGCATCACAGCAGCCCCAACAGTAGATTTGCCCACTCCAAATGGATTCTCGACTGACCGGTAGTTGTCTGGCATTGCAAGCTTCCACAGGGCTATTGCCACTCGCTTCTCAACTGTGAGGGCTGCTCTCATCTTGGTATTCATGCGCTTCAGGGCAGGGGAAAGCACGTCACAAAGTTCCATGAAAGTGCCCTTACGCATGAGAAAGTTTCGCAGCCACTGGGAATCGTCCCAGACCTGCAACACTATGCGGTCCCACCAGTCTGTGCTTGTTTCCCGAGCCCAGAATCGGCGTTCCACAGCATGAACTTGCCCCATTAGCACCATGATGCATGCATTGGCACGGCCCATGCTTTCAGAAAAATCTGTGTCCATGTCCTGACCACTCATGTGACCGTGCTGACGTCGCCTCCTCGCCCGGTATCGCTCTGCCAGGTTCTGGTGCTGCATATACTGCTGGATAATGCGTGTGGTGTTTAATGTGCTCCTAATTGCCAAAGTGAGCTGAGCGACCTCCATGCTTGCATTGGTATGGTGTCCGCACAGAAAAGAGGCGCGGAACGATTGTCTGTCGTTGCTCTGACGGAGGGAGGGGCGACTGATGACGTGGCTTTACATCAATGAGTATTTCAGGCAGGACTTCACGGAGGGTTCCAATAAGAAATGGTGCACCTAAGTAATTGTTCTTATTGGAACAAGCAGGTTGGTCTGGCCTCTGATTGATACATGGCTAGATTTACCTCGCTGCACCTTTTCTGTGAGTAACTGCAGTGAGACCTAGAGGAATGAGTCCCCTAGACGGGGGTCGGGGGGAAGCAAATGAGTACAAAACAAATCTGGTCTATTTCTTGTTTTGATCCATTCCATCTATCTTTTACATCTTTGGCTGGCAGCAGACGGTGCAGAAGGACTGCAAGCCATCCACATCTCATGGCTGCTCGGCAAAAGATGGTGCAGTAGGACTGCTAGCAATCCATATCGCCTGCCTGCTCACCATAAGATGGTTCAATAGGACTGACTGCAGGACTAAAGAGAATGACCTGGTCAAGTCACTTCTAATGTACTCCCTGCACCCATGTCTGCCCAGGCGCTCCTGGCCGACGTGGCCAGGAGCACCTCGGACATGACGATGACGGCTACCAGTCCTACTGCACCGTCTGCTGCCACAAGGCAAGAGGTTGCTGCTGCTGTGTAGCAATGCAGTACCACATCTGCCAGCACCCAGGAGACATACAGTAACGGTTACCTGAGCGGGCTCCATGCTTGCCGTGGTATGGCGTCTGCACAGGTAACTCAAGAAAAAAGGCACAAAACAATTGTCTGCTGCTGCTTTCACGGAGGGAGGGAGGGAACGGGGGCCTGACGATATGTACGCAGAACCACCCGCGACAATGTTTTAGCCCCATCAGGCATTGGGATCTCAACACAGAATTCCAATGGGCAGCGGAGACAGTGGGAACTGTGGGATAGCTACCCACAGTGCAACACTCCGGAAGTTGACGCTTGCCTCGGTACTGTGGAAGCACTCCGCCGAGTTAATGCACTTAATGCACTTAGAGCATTTTCCGTGGGGACACACACACTCGAATATATAAAAACGATTTCTAAGAAACCGACTTCTATAAATTCGACCTAATTTCGTAGTGTAGACATACCCTTAGACTGAGCTAGGAATTAACGACTGAATGAATCACAGACCTCTCAAATCCTGTGACCTCACCCTTAAATTAACATCACTAAGGATAAGGATATCACAAGCCCCCACCTAAGACAAAAGGACATATGAACTGAGTGGCTGTAGGTTGCTACAATTTGTGAATCACAAGTGGCAATTTTATTTTGGGGGGAATGTAATCAAAGTATATGGGAAAACAAAGACATGTGAATGCTTCCTGGGAGAGGAGGGAAGTGGGAGAGAGGAAGAAGAGTGGGAATAAGGATCAGAGGTGTTTGAGGCTGCAGCCAGGAGAAGGGGTTTATGGAGAAGGAAATAAATGGGGATGGGAAGTAGGAGATGCAAGGTTAGGAGCTCAGGTGAGGGAGGCCTGGCACCCCTCAGCTCTGCCAGCACACCCTCACCTCCCTGCACTCCAACACTATTCCACTATAAACAGTTTTCCTTGGCTCTAGGCACTGCATTGGAATCAAGTTATAGGAAGGGTGAAGAAATAGCAATAAAACTGTTTTTATAACTGGGAGTGAAGACTTCAGAGAAATGCTTGCTTGTGGTGGGAAGGCTTGGATACAGTAGTGGGGAGGGGGCCAGGTTGGATGGAGGAAAGCACTGAATGAGTCAGGGGAATAGTTGGGGAGGGATGCTGAAACAGGACTGATGAGAAGTGGCGGGAGGGCAGGCATGGGGAGGACTGCAGCTGTCTCAATATGCTAACTGTAGGACATGATCTATTCATCTACCTAAATGACTACTAATTCCTATCAACATCATTTCCTGTTCAAAAACTGAGGCAATTCAATGGCAAAAAAAACTACATTAATGCAGAGTTAAGGCTGCTGGTGATATGTTGTCCTCTTGCAGAACACACAGTTTAGCGAAACTCAAATGTCTGAAAACTGGGAAATGCTCATGCATACTTAACTTGGTCCTCTTTCATCAATGCCCAATATGGCCTGTTAACACAACCTGCCAATCCCACAGCTCCCAAAATGTAGAAGTTGTTCACCTTTTTCAACCCATTCCATCCATAGGGTTCCACTATTAAAGCGCAAAAAGAGAGAGGGAAAGGTTGCCCACACCACCTTCCTTCTACCCTCTTTGAGCAGTGCCTCACTATGCACGTAGCACATACTTACAGTGGCCCTTGGCACTAAGGTTCAGGAGGTTCCTGGTGTCCACTCATACACTTAACCATCTCCTCAGAGAGAAGAACATGTAAAATTTAAGGACCACTTCACAGCATTTTACAGCTCTCTTACACTTCCTCACAGGATACAATCTCACTTTCATGTAACCATCATTTAAGCGTTAGAATCCTCATGTTCCCCCTCGTTGCTGACAATGCCCTTTGTAATAATACTTCTGTGCCCTGCTAATTACACAACATATACACAATTCTGCACAGAAATGATGCATACTGCATCCTGAAGGTACACGTGCAGCTCTTCCCTTAGCACTCACACCTCAGTGTGCAAAACATAAATCTCCTCATATCCTAATCATTGCCCTGTCACACATGTCCATATGTCACAAACACACATTACTTAGCAGGCCCAACTGCTGCCTCCACCATTTAGTGCAAGTACACCTAACACACTGACTGTGCCTGGAGTGTATGCAAATAATTCCAATTGACTAATGCCAGGAGAACAAAGGGAACGTGGCATGGTCAACTGCCTTTCCCTCCCCCCCATAGTGTTAGATGGAATCCTGTGGGCGAGAGAGAACGAGTGGATTGTAAAAGAAGGTGAACAGCTTACATATTTCGAGAACTGTGGGGTTGGCATAGTAAAGGTATTTGTGTTAACAGGGTGGATTTGCTGAAAGAGAGCAGAGTTAAATATGCATGTGCAGCCTTAACTCTGCAGTTCCTGGTTTTCAGATGTTGGCGTTTTGCTCAACTCAGCATTCTGCAAAGGAACGACATACCACCAATCAACATTAACACTGCATGAATATAGATTTTTTGCCATTGAATTGAATCATTGGTCAAAATGTTAAGATATCAATTGACAGCTGACGTAAACTGTTTGTCAGTTTTTTGTTCCCGGAGGATCAGAGAAAGTTTTATATTAAAATAGGAGGAAATCAGTTAATTATCAAGATAAGATGTATTTATATGGTCCCAGATTTACTGAGCAAACTAAGAAAACATCAAATTTGAGGTTCTAATACCAAAATCAGACTTGGATATGGGACAGAAGTGTTCTTCCTTGACAAATTAAGTTATTACTGAGCCTAAGATCTATTATTTCTATATAAGGAGACAAAGTGTTTATGGACCCTCATCTCTTTTCCCAGGGACTAAGATGATTATGTCAAACCATTGGATGATTTCAATCTTAGAAAAAATAAATCGTATTTGTCCGAGTTCTGGCAAATCCTAGATTACCCACTTATTAACAGTTTATAACATGTACTTTTTAAAATGAATATAACATTTGGATACCTAAATACATTTTGTTAGTCAAATGGCTACTTAACTCTTCCAAGATCACAATCAAATACAAAGGATGATCTGGGTATTATTCTTTATACAGAAAACTTTTATATGAACAGTTCTGTCACGGCTACTGTGCTTTGCTACATTGCTGTTACTAGATTTTTGTCAAGAGAAATTTCCAAATGATTAATTTCTCTTTGACAAATCAGAAAGACTGAAATCTGTTGGAATATTAAGCGCAGTATTGGTAAGTTCTTCTGATTTATAAACCAGTATCAAAACAAGACAAATTTGGGAATGATCTCTGAAATGAGGCTCATCATAATTAGAGCAACTGTCAGTCCCTCTTCAGGAAAATACTGATTTGTGACAGAGAATAAGAAATCATTATTTGAATCAAATCCTCTCATTTCAAATTTACAATCTAATAAAATTACTTCTCCCTACAATTAAAGTATAATAAAAATCCCATATTAAAAACTACTTTGTAATCAAAAAATTTAAAAAAAAAAAAAAAAAAAAAAGGAAGCACTTCTTCCTGTCTACAAGAGATTATATATTTGTCAATAAGGCCAAATTTAAAAAAAAAAATCATACATAAGTTTTTAAAATACATCTTTGTCTCTATTAGCAGAGGTAAATGCAAGGGTCATGTCAGTAGACTGTGAACCCTTCAGGGCAGGGAATCTGGTCTTCCTGTGTATCTGTTCAGCAATTAGCACAATGGGGCTCTAATCCTGATTGGGGCCTTGGCTACCACAATCAAATATGGAAAAAACCAGCATGCTGCACATACCATCTGAATCACTCTCTTCAGAATGTGATTTCCTTTGTACTCTTGCCTCATTAGGATATGCTATTTCTGGAGTGACTGAAAGTGGATGCTGTCGCTCAGGAGCATTCTTTTCTGCTTCTGGAAAAACACACTCTATATTTTCATATTCCACATTGTTGGAAATTTCTGTAGTTTCTGAATGAATCATAGCTACTGAAGTGGTCTTTGTTGTGGAACTTATTGGTTTCTGCACTGAAATATCCATACTTTCTTGCAGAGATCTTGAGTCCATTTTTGTAGTGTACTCTTGTTCGTCTTCTGTCTGTTCTTTATCTATTCTAATGATTTCAACAGAGGAATCATTTTTAACGCAAGGTGTGCACACACCTTTAGATACAGGCATTAAAAAAAAATCTGATGTACGTTTTTGGTCTGATTCACCATCTTGCATAAGGACGGTGTTTGTTGAAAGATCTGTAGGTAAAAGTAGCGACTCTTTTCCATCGTTAATTTTAGAAACCTCATCTGAGCTACTAATAAGATCCTTCACCCCTGACATTTCCATTTGTGTTCTATCAGCACTAGCGGTAATAACTGCTCTCACATCATCATCACCACCACTTAAAGCTTGCTGAATAACCTGTAGTGTTCTTGGTGATACACTGCCTTCAACTGTACTGGGACAGAGAGTGGCTTGGTCCAAATTCAGCTTCCTTTTATCTTCATCCTCTGGCTCCTCTTCTGAGCTGCTTTCTAACATAGCTGCCTGTATAGCAAGCAAAGTTCTGGGAGAAGGTGGTGCTCCAGCTGCATTGCTAGCCTTCTCTGACTTTAACTTTTCAGGTGAAGGTGGCTTGGTATTAGCATTCATTTCATTATGTATTTTATCAGGTATGTTATATTCAGGTCCTGTGGAATGCCCAACTGAAAGAGCTCCTAAGTGCGTACTGGTGGCTTCCTTTACTTGAATACCTGAAAAAGAAAGAGACTGTTAAGTTTCTTCATATATAACTGTTTATATATTCTTTTTCTTCTATAATGAATTAGATTTAAAATCCTAAGAAGTTGGTGGTTGATAATCAAGTCTTTTATTACTCTATTTCTCTGCAATTTAATAATTAAGTTAGTGTTATAGTTCATTATACTGAAAGTATCAACAACAGTAAACTCTTATTCGGCACTTGACCAATTGGCAAGCTCTATAAACCAACATTTCAGATCTGCACTGAAAGTCTGGTTTATACTGCGGTTGGTGCAGGGCCAACAGGGAGCTGGGGCATGGGCGGGGCTGCGGGGCGCGCTCTGGAAGTGATAGTTTGGGTCCAGGAGGGAGCTTGGGGCAGCGGGTTGGAGCACAGGAGAGGCTCAGGGTGCCAGATGGAGGGGGCACTCACCTCCGGTGGCTCCCCGTCCCGGCTATTGCTGGCGAAGGCGCAGCCAGGGAGCTCTGCAGGCATACTACCTCTGTCCCTCCTCCTCAAGTGCTGACTTGGGGGCTCCCAGCCCATTGGCCAGGAACTGCAGCCAATGGGAGGTGCGGGAGTAGCACTGGCAAACAGAGGCAGCGTGCCTGCTTACAAAGCCACCTAGCTGTGCCTTTGCCAGGAGCAGCAGGGACGGGGAGCTACTTGCGGGGAGCTGCCGGATGTGAGCACCCCCACATCCAGCACCCCAAGCCACCTCCCACGTCCCAACCCCCATCCCAGGATCCATGCTCCGCAGCCCCTCCTATTCCCCTGGCCCGCACACCCACCCCGCACTCCAAACCCCTCCCTCTGAGCTAACTGGCATCTTAAATTTACCGGCACCCCCCATTCCCCTGTATGCCGGTTAAAAAAGCTCTCACTGTCTATGTTTCTGTACATGAAACTCATATTTCTCAGCAGTATATACAAGACCAACAGCAATACAGAGTGCCCACACCCAGTGAGAAATTTCAGGACGTGAAGAGATAACATTACAATACCTCTTATCAGAATGTAGTGAGAACTATCTTCAGAGACTACCCTCTTGCTTTCCACTTCTTTCATGAAGCCCCCCTCATTTTCATATTGGGTTTGGATTTGGCCTGAGTCCTGCTGACTCATCTCTTTTTCCACATTTTCTATGCATCGATTGAGGTTGTTTTTTTTAAGCAAACCCTTGAGTTGGTATTGTGAGAAGTCATTGGACTCCTTAAAACAAACAAATTAAACATGAAATGAGCCACAGTATTTAGATAAAATGCAACTGCTGAATTTTTGAGGCAAATGTATTCATTGGGCTCTGGAGGAAACGGCTGTGTTACAAAAATAAAATAGGTATCAGTTTCTCTACATCTCATAACTTTCTGACACAGGACATTTTTCTGTTACTGACTGCAATGACACAAGGGACTGACACATTAACACAGGATAAAAATAGGTTAATTAGTGTGACAGACTGACAATATTCTGTAATATCCTGAACCTTATGGAATGAAGTTAAAGTTTAACTTAATTAATAACATTTATCAAATTAGTGGTAACACCTTTGATGTACACCCTATTAAAAATGCAACTGTGTATGTGTTACTGTAGCAAATACCTTCTCATGAGGGAGAGGGGTGCTAAATGTACTTCCTCTATTATGAACCCCCCTGGAGGATAGGGTTCCAAGGACTGGGCCTGACAGAATCTAGGTTAAGGTTGTAGTTAATTCTGGTAAGCTTAATCACATGCTTATAGGGTTTTGTTTGTTTATTATATTTTACTTTAAGAATAAAATAGACTTGCACAGGATGTGCTACCTGATAAGAGTGATTGTCAACAGTTATATGTTATCAGTCTCTGAAGAGAAACCAAGCAGATGTCCTCAGGTAACCTGTCTGTGCTGGGAAATAGACAGTGAAGGCAGGGAACTGTGCAGCTTGGGAATACCAAGGTCAGAAGGGAGAGAGATGCAGGTCTCCCCCCAGAATGGTAACAGCTGGGGAGCTGAAAGCAGTCAGTCAGCTGGAACCTGTACCACTGAAGGGAAATACAGATACAGTTGCCCTGGAACTGTGACATTGTTTAATACTATTATTTAAAAAGGAACATTGTTAAATACACTGATACCTCCCTTACATGACCAGTAAAAATTGGTCATTTAAAAGAGATGGTCCATAACTCAAGAGCAAATAAAATTATAATGGAACCCACACTGGGGTGATTTAAATGTGGTTGCCTATTACAACATCTATCCTGGCAGGTTTCAATGCCAGCTGCCATCTAAACAGTCCTATTACACTTTAAAACATAGTTGTGCTCTCAAAAATTATTCTAAAAATGGCACTGCAGGGTTCCAGTTGTCTCTGAAATGACTTTTTACACATTTGCTTAGTTTACAAATAAAAAAACGACTTCCCAGCTACCAGCTCTGCATGCAACTTGGAATCTGGAAGTGAAGTTGTTTTCTTTCAGCCTGACTTAACATAAATAAGATTCACTAAATTCCAATTACAGAATAATTCTGGTGGTGAGGCATGAGCCACAATGCAAGAATGGGCAAATTATAAAGCAATCTTGGCTCCGCAATTCTATCAGAAGTCAGAAACAACAACTCTGAATACATATAGAAAGCAAGTTTGTTGAGAACCATGACCCTGACATTTTTGTGCAGTCACTTTTCTGACATAGCACATCAAGGATTTTTTGATGTGAGATACTAATGCAGTCTTCATCGGCGCTCATGGCAGCAGACTCTATCCTATTGGCTTTAAAAAAAGCTGATGGATTTTTTAAATTTTACCTCTGGCATGGTCTCAAATAATGTTCGTCGCTTTGTAAACTCCTTTATGTCTGTCAGGATTTCATGTTTCACTTCTGGAGGCAGACTGCTGAAGTCTTCTGATTCAATATCTACAGAATGAGGATTGTCAAAGAATTCTTCCTGTAAGTAGTGAAAGAGAACTTACAAACACTGATTTCATATGACCAAGGCAACAAACATACAGAGTCACTCATAATCAAATGGAAAGTCAAATACAGTATTTAATCTCTCAAAGCAGAAGTTAGTACAATGAGGCTTTTATTTAGGGCTGTCAAACAGTTAAAAACATTAATCATGTGATTAATTGCGCTGTTAAACAATAATGGAATACCATTTAGTTAAATATTTTTGGATGTTTTATACATTTTCAAATAGCAAGATATTTACATGCCAGATGTGCTGAAGATTCATATGTTCCTTCATGCTTCAATCACTATTCCAGAGGATAGGCGTTCATGCTGAAGACGGGTTCTGCTCGACAACAATCTAAGGCAGTGCGGGCTGACGTTCATTTTCATCATCTGATTCAGATGCCACCAGCAGAAGGTTTATTTTCTGTTTGGGTTCTGTAGTTTCCACATTATAGTGTTGCTCTTTTAAGACTTCCGAAAGCTCCACACCTCATCCCTCTCAGATTTTGGAAGGCACTTAAATCTTGGGTCGCATGCTGTAGCTATCTTTAGAAATCTCACATTGGTACCTTCTTTGCATTTTGTCAGATTTGCAGTGGAAGTGTTCTTAAAAACGAACAACATGTGCTTGATCACCATCAGAGACTGCTATAACGTGAAATATATAGCAGAATGCAGGCAAAACAGAGCAGGAGACATACAATTCTCCCTCCAAAGAGTTCGGTCACAAAAAAAAAAAAAATTGTTAATTAAATTTAAGTGAGCGTCATCAGCATGGAAGCTGAATGATGGCTGAAGCATGAAGAGGCATATGAATCTTTGGTGCATCTGGCATGTAAATATCTTGCAACACCAGCTACAACAGTGCCATGCGAATGCTTGTTCTCATTTTCAAGTGTCATTGTAATTAAGAAGTGGACAGCATTATCTCCGATAAATGTAAACAAACTTGTTTCTCTTAGCGATTGGCTGAACAAGAAATAGGACCGAGTGGACTTGTAGGCTCTAAACTTTTACATTGTTTTTTTTTTGGGTGCAGTTATGTAACCAAAAACACTACATTTGTAAATTGCATTTTCATGATCAAGAGATTGCACTACAGAACTTGTATGAGGTGAATTAAAATGCTATTTCTTTTATCATTTTTTCAAGTGCAAATATTTGTAATAAAAAATAAAGGAGCACTGCACACTTTGTATTCTATGTCGTAATTGAAATTGATGCATTTGAAAAATGTAGAAAACCTCCACAAATATTTAATAAATTTCCATTGTTATTCTATTGTTTAACAGTGCCATTAATCGCAATGTCATTTGAAAAAAGTTTACCTATCCTGAAAGTATTTTTATTGCTGTGCCATGGTGTTTCTAACCCTAGCAGGTCACAAAGTATAGACCTTTAAAACATGGTTGCAAAAGCGAGGGTTTATAAGTATTCAATGAAGAGAAGAAGGGACGACGAAATGCTTGAAGAGAGTGCATGTGCTGAAAGACTTCCAGTTGTAAGGACAGCATTTGTTGCAGGGACAAAGACAAAAGTTGGAATGAGAGCCAAAGGGAGGAGCAGAGACAACAGGAATTGGACAAACAAAGGGACATAATGAAGAAGAGGCCCAACTGAGTTAAAGTTTTTGAAATGAATAAATTGTGAATTTCGACAGGAGGGACTCCCAACATCCTCTCATAGTTTATTGAGAGAAAGAACGACGGAAAACATACATATATTAATGTCTTAAGTTTTCCATAGTTAACTTTCAGTAACAAAAATGTATTTTTTCTCTAAATGGTCCAATATTTCATGAATCACCACCTTAGAAAGAAATACTATGTAACACTGGGAAATTGAGTCTCCAGCTCTCCACCAGGAGATAGCACTAATTTCTACATTTTGGGATTAGCAAGATAGCAGACATTTTAAAAAAGTTATTGGTCCCTTAGGCAGGCAATCCTCTTTTTACACCAGGAATTAAATCTGGTACATCTATACACCCCAACCAGTATATCTGTTGGTCCTTGTTGTTAATGTTGTCCATTTGAAGTGAGTGATTGAAAATTTTCACAATTACAAGGCTATTCAAATGTAGTTACCTGCAATATTTTTTTTTGGCTCATTCTCTCTTCCCACTCTTTTTCATCTTCGTCTTCTGAACTAAAATTACAAAAGGAAGCAAGGTAGACAAAAAGGAAGCTGTAGGGTTTTTTAAACATATGTACCAATAAGGTTTTTTTATAAGCAAAACAGAATGAACCTACTGCTTGCTCATCAACAGGAAAACTAAGTAATCTGAAATGTATAATAAAAAAAGATACAGGCTAGCAGAAAAGATGCAGAGGAATTGGATGGGATACAAAGATCATCACTAGGGCCACGATTGTCAGAGAGGTCATAGAAGTCACGGAATCTGTGACTTCCAGAGACCTCCATGACATTGGGGCACCGCAGCAGACCAGCCACGAGCGGCAACAGGGCCCCCCAACCTGCCCAGCTGTCACGGGCAGCAGGGGAATCCCGGAGCTCCCCAGCTGCCGTGGGCCCCCCCAGCAGCTCCCAGCCCTGCAGAGTAGTGCGGGATCCCCTCTCAGCTCCTAGCCACTGTTGCTGGTTTTTTAATGTAGCTATTTCTATGCTAAGAATCAGAATGAGGCCTCCAAATAACTGTCACAACTGACCTGGTCCAGATTTGACTGTGTATCTCGTTACCCAGTAGTGGTGATTTAAGGCTTCGATTTTTGTCAGGGACGTTTTTGGCAAAAATCAGGGACAAGTCACGGCTTCCGTGAATATTTGTTTATTGTCCGTGACCTGTCCATGACTTTTACTAGAAATATCCACTAGAAATATCCAGCAAGTAAATACAGTTTGCATCCCACAGAGGAACACTCTCAAAAACAGCATTAAAAACTTTCAATATGGATTTTCACATATCAGACTGAGCTACTCGTTTTAGCATTGCTTACCTCTTTTTTTCTTCCTCTTGTAAAGAAGACAAGACATACATATCATCAATTTCTTCTCTTCGAACTTGTGAAATACTGGGCAGTGCTTCATTGCTTAAGAAAAAGTTGGAAGAGTTATTAATATCTAAGCAAAAACTGCCACTGAAACAAGAGGAAAACAATGCTTTTGCCCTTGCCTTTTGCCTGTTAAAGCCGTTTTGATAGCTTGTCTTTTCAGGAAAGTTTTCAAGAGTTTTTCGGTAGTTTTCTTAGAGTCACTGACTGCCAATTCTTTTCTTTGTCTTCGTTTAGCCTGCGAACATTAAATGAGTAACATCAGATTTCACTAAAAGGATACTTCTTGTTAATGGAAGATATTTTTCAGATGAATTACTCTTATAATAAGCTGTAAATTGAGACAATGTAGGTGACAGATTTTTGTATAAAAATAGAATAGTTCTCATATTAATGGACATGAGCTTTCCATATCATGCCTGCATAAATATCAGAAACTAGATTATCTATAAAAGAGCCCAATCCTGCAATCTTTCCTCATTGACTTCCAGTTTTAAAATGGGTATCTTGGAAGCTGCTAGACTTGTCCTCCTCCCTCATGGTTATCACAAATCTGCTATGATCAGAACCTACAGCATCCCAGAAGGGTTTTTCCTGGGTTTTGAAAGGTTTTTTTTTAAATTTCCTGCTTTCTAAGAAAAAGAGGAGAGGCAAATCACAAAATAGTATCACATTTCCTTGTTTAAATTAATCTGAATTAAATACAAGTACTTTGAAGAAAAAAAAAAACATTAGTACTAATCATTTTATAAAAACAGAACAGATGGATGATCCAGTTTTCTAATCGCCAAGCTACACTTCAGAAGAAACACTGTGGGACGTGGCAAGCATTGTTCCCTGAGAGAGATGTGCTGGAATGAATAGATGTTTTTAAATAATTCCTCACCCCAATCACAAATAAGTTCCAATCTTTATAGGGCATTTTTTTCCAAAATTGCAAAGGTATTAAAACAGGAAAGCATTATGAAATGAAAGTCATCCACTACTAAACTGGTGGGTTAGCCCATGTTCATTATATAGGTACTTGTGAAATTATAACTGATTTCTAATGCATAGTGTACTTCACTTAAACAATTGAGAAGAATGGTGGATTCTTGTCATGCTTAATGTCTGATTATTTTTTTTAAATCACCTTGTAAACTGTACACAGTTAGTCTGCACACTTCCCTGCCACTGCTCTCTTCATTCTTCCTCTCCTACTTCCTCTTTGTACACAAACTTGTTGTGTCTTGTCTTAATTTAGGGTTTAGTCCCGCAACTGATTCTGTTCAGACAACCCCCTCTATCAGGCCCCATTAACTTCAATCTCCAGGGGTATCAATCTGCCCCATTAAATTAATAGAGACTCCATGAAGGAACAAGGTCCACCACACAATGTCAGTTCCCCGATCATTGATTTGGCTTGCACAGTACCTAGCACATAGGACCCCCAATCTTAATGAGACTTCTGCACACTTCTGTAGAACTAACCATAGCAGTGATTCACCATGTAAATTATCTTTGTAAACTTGAGATGAAAATACCAACCCAGGCACAAAATCTACTTGCTCACCATTTCGTTTATCATCAAAAGTCATTGTGATAATTATAGATTTTACTCACCCATTGAAAAATACACATGCCCAGACAAGTGAGAAACTAGATTTTTTCATATTGGTTTAAATATATCAATTCCTGACTAATCTAATCGCCTTTTATGATGAGATTACTGGTTCTGTGGATGAAGGGAAAGCAGTGGATGTATTGTTTCTTGACTTTAGCAAAGCTTTTGACACGGTCTCCCACAGTATTCTTGTCAGCAAGTTAAGGAAGTATGGGCTGGAAGAATGCACTATAACGTGGGTAGAAAGCTGGCTAGATTGTCGGGCTCAACGGGTAGTGATCAATGGCTCCATGTCTAGTTGGCAGCCGGTATCAAGTGGAGTGCCCCAAGGGTCGGTCCTGGGGCCGGTTTTGTTCAATATCTTCATAAATGATCTGGAGGATGGTGTGGATTGCACTCTCAGCAAATTTGCGGATGATACTAAACTGGGAGGAGTGGTAGATACGCTGGAGGGGAGGGATAGGATACAGAAGGACCTAGACAAATTGGAGGATTGGGCCAAAAGAAATCTGATGAGGTTCAATAAGGATAAGTGCAGGGTCCTGCACTTAGGACGGAAGAACCCAATGCACAGCTACAGACTAGGGACCGAATGGCTAGGCAGCAGTTCTGCGGAAAAGGACCTAGGGGGGACAGTGGACGAGAAGCTGGATATGAGTCAGCAGTGTGCCCTTGTTGCCAAGAAGGCCAATGGCATTTTGGGATGTATAAGTAGGGACATAGCGAGCAGATCGAGGGACGTGATCGTTCCCCTCTATTCGACATTGGTGAGGCCTCATCTGGAGTACTGTGTCCAGTTTTGGGCCCCACACTTCAAGAAGGATGTGGATAAATTGGAGAGAGTCCAGCGAAGGGCAACAAAAATGATTAGGGGTCTGGAACACATGAGTTATGAGGAGAGGCTGAGGGAGCTGGGATTGTTTAGCCTGCAGAAGAGAAGAATGAGGGGGGATTTGATAGCTGCTTTCAACTACCTGAAAGGGGGTTCCAAAGAGGATGGCTCTAGACTGTTCTCAATGGTAGCAGATGACAGAACGAGGAGTAATGGTCTCAAGTTACAGTGGGGGAGGTTTAGATTGGATATTAGGAAAAACTTTTTCACTAAGAGGGTGGTGAAACACTGGAATGCGTTACCTAGGGAGGTGGTAGAATCTCCTTCCTTAGAGGTTTTTAAGGTCAGGCTTGACAAAGCCCTGGCTGGGATGATTTAACTGGGATTTGGTCCTGCTTCGAGCAGGGGTTTGGACTAGATGACCTTCTGGGGTCCCTTCCAACCCTTATATTCTATGATTCTATGATTCTATGAATTCACTTGCATGAGCACAGTAATTAAACATCATAATCTGATCTTTAGACTATAATTATGCATATCTTCATGCAGAAACAATGTATAAGAGGAGCCTTTGTTCCTGCACTTACTGTAGCTGATTTAAGGTCCAATTCTGCTCTCACTGACATTAGTGGCAGAATTGCCATTCACTACAAAGATGCAGGACTGGGCACCTACTCTATAAACTTTCATATTGATAAATCTCCATCTTATTTAGCACTGGAAAGAACATAAAATTACTCAAAAAAAGTACAAACCAAAGTTTGCCTCTTCAGTAGTGGTGCCTCCCCATCAAAAACAAAGACAGGCCGGATTCGAAAAAATAACAACTTGCAGAGTCGATGGAACAAAGTGAGTAGGTGAGCATTTTGTATGGTGTTACCATGACGGTCCCTGGCTCCTTTTACTGCTTGATTCAACCAAATGCTAATATCTTGAAGGACAGTTAAGAGAAAAAAAATGTATAGTCTTACAAGCACATTTCATAATGTTAACCATGCAATGAACAAACTATATTAAATTTATTTAGGTCTAAATCTTGTCTGTTGTTCCAAGCCCAAGTAGCTAGGTTTGTATACAAAAGGCCAGTTGATCCTCCAAGGACCAGTGAAGATGGGAGAGGAAGGAATATTTAACACCATACCCAAGCCGAAGAGCAGCAATGGAGTCACTCTGCAGCCAATACAACAACCCTCATTCCTCCTGTAAGTGAATGAATTGTAATAGCTTCCCAGCTTTCATCCATGTTAACAAGATGATTTGAACTGATTTTTCCTGACCCAGAAGAGAGGCATTAGTTTTCCCTTTTTTTGTATTCTAGTTCAAATGACTGTCAGCACTGCAGACATCAGATGAGCTTATGAAATACAGACTCCTACAACCTGTCATTTGTTTGTGGAAGGCATCTATAACTATAAAGGCACACGTTTAATTACTGTTTGTTCTTATTTATCATCCCTTGATTCCTACATTTTTACAAGTAATCCTTGAAGTCAAACCATGAAGATAACTAACTAGATTAGTGGTTAGTTTCAATGCCATATATAGGGTAATAAAAATAAAATACACAGAATTTTGGCAAGAGTTCATTTTTGTTCCAAAAAATACACTTTCATTTGCCAAAGAGGTGTCCTATGCATGCTCTGATAAATTTTCAGCCAGTATATCTGTCCTAAGCAAAACTGTTATAGAATCCCACTCCCCTTGGCCCCATTTAGAATGCTGAAACAAATATGCTTTGCAACCATGCGTTGATGCTCAGATGATGAGTGTGATATAAATGGTTTATATAGCATTTATCTATTTATTTATTTTTTTAATAACACAGCCATATCCAAACTAAGTTATACTGGTTTGGCCAGCCAGGTAGGCCAGACCACACCATGTTATAAATGAGGTTTTTTTTTTTAAAAAAAAAAAACCTAGTCTATGTCTCTTCCTGAACTAATGCAAGGTTTTGAAATTCCTCTCTGCACCATCTGGCTAAACTGTAGTGTAACTCATTTCAGTCTCAACCATGTCTTAAATACAGAGGATTAGAATGTGCCTTTGATAACACTGAAAAGCCTTTTATTAACAGACTGCACTTTAATGTGTAGAAAAACTTCAGGAACAGAGCTAGAGTCAATCAGATGCAGCATTTCACCTCATCCTATTTTGGCATGAACCAAAAGTGAAACCCTACATACAGAATGAATTCAGTCCCTTTCAGCTTTTCAGATTAGCACACCCTTTACTGGAACATTTCATTCTACGTTTGTGTGTAAGATATAAAGACCAAACCAGTTAAAGAACTCCTTGCCACTTGATCTTTCCAATCATAAGATTTCATCTGTCAAACTCACAGGGTCTATACCTGTACTATGCCTAGTCCTAACAGATTGTTTTGGTAAGGTCAATTTGGGATATTTCTGCATTTTTCACAGTGGAACAGATGGACCAGCATGTTTCAGCAACAGTATGTCAACTTAAGGTTTTAAGGATACCAACAGCAAGAATTTTTCCTTCCAAAGTTTCTGGGTTTATAGGTCTTCCAGAGCATTCAAGCAGTTTCCAAAGTCCTTGAACTCCCATTGTTCTTCCTTACTTACTTTGAAGGAAAAGTATCTATGGGGAAAAGTTGTAAATATTTACTTTATGGTGCGAAGAACCTTGTTTATGAAAACAAAGGGTTTGTTATTAATACAAACATTTATAAACAGCAAAGAGTGTGTTTAGAAAACCTTGCTCACCAACAAAATAGCAGAGTTGCATTAAATCACAGCTACAATAGTAGCTGAGTAACTATCCACTATGATGATTATTGTTCTTCATTATTTTACAAGCATATTGAGTACTTCACAGAAGACACATGAAAAAACTCATGATCCCTACCCTAAATATCTTATGATCTAAGTGAAACCCATAACCCTGAGATTAAAATCTCTTATTCCACTGCCTGCAATAGCTAGGCGACCCCAATAATTCTTCCTTTTCATGTGATAAATCAGGAAGACGACTGCACACAGGCTGCACATGAGCAAGAGTTAAATTTATACCCCATTTTATACTCCCTGTAACTTCTGTAACATAAATAACAAACAAAACAGGCATCAAAAGTATTTAATTTGCCTTGCTCAACTAAACCTGAAGATTCTTGGTGAAGGCAAGTTTTCCTGTCTCTTGCACGGCACTATTCATAACAAGCATAGTAAGCTAGCTATAAATCTACACAACAGTGAAGTGAGCAGCACCATCACCCCACACTGGAGTGCTGGCCCGGGCCGGTTACCACCGAACCAGTTTCCTTGTCCTTCCTCCCCTCCCTCCCTGCGCAAATGGGGCCCCACTGCAGTCCGCCCGACCCACAGCAGCCTAAGTGCTTCCCTAACTTACAGGGCAGTTGTGATGCACACAGAAATGTTGTCAATTTGCAATAGGGTCAATATATTTTAAAAAAGAAAAAAAAAAAAAGAGAGAGAGAGAGAGAGAAATATGTTGTCAGGTACCATAACAGCCTACCCCCCCCAATTTTTTTTAAACTATAAGAGTTTCCTATTCCTAGAAAATTTCTCTCACCCATGTGGAACCACTTGCAGAATCCATGCAGGTGAAACAGTAAAAATGACTATACTAAGAATTCCATCATATGAACAAAGGCCTTGTCTACACTGCCACTTACAACGCTGAAAATTTCTTCACCCAGGGGTGTGAAAACACACTCCCCTGAGCGATGCAAGTTTCAGCACTGTAAAGTGGCAGTTCTGGCTGGTAAGGAGGGCTCACTGGAGGGTGGCTGGTGTATAGCTGGGTACCAATGGAGGAACCAGAGTAGGAAGCTAGGTGGTGGATGTTGGGGCTTCTGGAAAACAAATGCTACTAGGATTTGGAGACCGAGGGTGTTGATGCTCATGGGGAGCCAAGGATACTAGCTGGGTGGGAGTCTGGTGTGGGGGTGGGGAACCGCTGGGAAGCCAGGGGCCAGTATTAGGCCTCACCTTATCTGTTGCTGTGGCACCTCCTCCTCCAGCTGCTCATTCCTGGCTCTGGTCAAACAGAAGGAACAGCAAGAAAGAAGGCAATCTGGTCGCTAGTCCACAGGCACTGCAGGTACCTCTAGTGACCAAAATACAAAACTGCAGTCAAATGCCTGTTGCCTTCCCACAGCACACCTAAACAAATGACATTTCAGGTAAGATGTGGGAATGCATGGCATGCCTGTCAAAAGCATGACTGCAACACGAAATACATGACGCTTCGTAGCCCTCTCTTTTACATAAGCAAGGGAGCGCCACCTCTAGAACTTCCAGTTCTCAACTACAGCAGTATTACACAAGGTGAGAGGTGATCTCTCAAGGCAGAAAAAGTGCAGGCCATTTAGGGCTGTGTAGGTCAATTCCCAAAAGCAGGCAGTGCAGATCACAAAGCACTGGTAGCAGCTCACTGTGAAATACAAGTAAACTGCTGTAAATTGTACTAGCTGCAATTTCCCAATGGAATTAAGATACAGCCCCAAATAAAGCATAGTGCACTAATCTGTTAGGTACTTATATGGAACCACTACTATATTATCTGAGCACCTCATAGTCTTTTTCATCTATTTAAAAAAAACCCTGAGATACAGGGATGCACAATGTTCCTACAAAGAGACTAAATGATTTGCCCAAGGTCACACAGTAAGTCTGTGACAGAAGAAGGATTTGAACCCAAAGGTCCTAAATCCTAGGCTAGGGCCAAATGGATTGAATGCTGGACCATCCTTCCTCTGCTGGTGATGACGAAACATGAATCGCTGTTGTGAAGTCTGCACAAAAGAGAAAGACATGCGACCTTTTGGCCAGCTTGAAATAGAAAGGCAAAAAGAAAGGTGAAAGCTGGTTCTCCACTTTAAAACAACATCAGCAAAACACTGCAATGTTCGGTGAAGTATTTATTTGATCAAAATCTCTGCAATTTTCCCCCCCTCCAAGGACAATTTCTTTTGATTTTTTTTTTTATTTAAAAAATTATTTTTTTTTTTATAAAAGTTCTTTTATAAAAACCTGAACTTCGAGCTAAATTCGATCTGGTTGTTTTTAAAAAGACTAGAAGGAAATGGTCAGAAGTGCACCAACCCACCGGCCCTTGGAAGTCTAATTGCTACTGTGCAGACCTTCTCATCGGGGAAGCCCGGCTCTGCCACAGCGACTGACAGGAGGCGGGTGGCTACTTTATCCAGCTGCGCCGGTCTCGCGGCCGGCCCCGGGAGGGGTGAGCGGGCCGCCGCCGCGAGCTGGCCGGGCCGCAGGGAGGGTCGGCTCCGCGCCCTCCCGCGCCGGCGCAGCGCTGGCTCGGCTCACCCCACCCCCGTATACCGCGGCGGTTACCCCCGAACCGGCTCCTTCTCCCCCGCGGCACGGGCCGAGCCCCGGCCCCGCAGCGGCCCAGCCTCGCCAGCCGATGGCTGAAAGGAGCATGCGCGGGCGCGGGGCAAGCTGGGAGTTGTAGTTCGCTCTCAACGGAAACGAACCGCTGCCGGGTCACCGCGCGCGCATCCCCCATTTTATCCGCCCTTGGACGGCGGCTCCGAGTCTCCGGGCGGGGGGTCGCGGCAGACTTGGGCCCTATGCTGAAGCTTTTCTGTGCCACCCCAAGGGTTAGAAACTTAAGTCCTGATTCTTCCTGTACACACACACGCTGATGCACCTGCACAACTTTACCTTTGCTGGAAGTGCGTGGGAGTGCTGCTCACACTCCTGAAGTCAAGCACGTGCAGAAGCAGTTTCAGGATTGGGGCCTTGCGCCCCGTCTTCCCCCTTTTTTTATTGAAACCTGAGAGTCTCATGACAGGTTTCAGAGGCCGCCCTGTTAGTCTGTATTCGCAAAAAGAAAAGGAGGACTTGTGGCACCTTCGTCGGATGCAATGAGCTGTAGCTCACGAAAGCTTCTGCTCAAATAAATTGGTTAGTCTCTAAGGTGCTACAAGTCCTCCTTTTCTTTTTCAGATTCTCATGTAATTACTTGACTCCAAGTTACCAGGATTAATAAAAACAACAAATATGGCAAAGCTTCAGATAAAATGAAGAACTTGCAATACTGCCAAATAGATAAGGGCACCTCAGAATTTGGCTCACAATTGGTGTATTATTTTTTTTTTTTTTTGCGATTAGCTTGTCCCAAACCATGTGTTGTGTTTCTACTGTCAAGAGAAACTTAAATAAAATGTGTCCTGTGCACTAAAGGCTAAAGCCTGACAGATGCTGAGCACTTGCAAGTCAATGCGATACTTAATATTACAACCTGGCCCAGTCCTCTCTTCTGGAAAAGTCACCAATCTGTTGTAAGCAGATCCAGTCCTGGACCCCAGATGCTTCTAAGCCCCCTGGTCCATTTATTGTTTATAGGTCTGTGATTCTAGGGCACACTACCAGGCACAGACCTCTTGTCTGAACTGTTATATCCTTGGGGGCAACCGTTTTAGGAAACAATCACTTGAGACACATTTCAGAGTAACAGCCATGTTAGTCTGTATTCGCAATGAATGAAGTGATGAAGTGAGCTGTAGCTCACGAAAGCTCATGCTCAAATAAATTGGTTAGTCTCTAAGGTGCCACAAGTACTTCTTTTCTACTTGAGACACAGAGAGCTGTAAACCTTAAAAGCAGCCATTTATTGCCACACACTGAACTAACCAAAAACCAGCCAAAACTGGCTGGGCTATCCCTAATAATCTAACTCAGTTGCCATAGCAACAACAAGATTCTATTACCATGACAACCAAATACACAACATATTTCTCCCCCCTTAATGAGAACATCTAAATAAAACAAACACTGGACTAGAGAAGGAGTGAAGACTGCTTCTGTTCCTGGCTAAACCCCAGGGATTATTTTGCCCGGTAACCATGGGTTCACCCTAGCTAAAGATCCAGTCATTGAGGAGGCCTTCTGTCTCTAAGTGGATTACGGCAGACTTGTGGTGTTGTTCCACCTGAAAATGTCTTGGGCGCAGGCCTAACAATGGGCTCAGGGTTCACAGTGCGAATGGGTGAAGATGTGATATCAGCTCATTCCAGGAAGGAGGGTATCTCTGCCGCTGGCAGTAATGGAGGAGGAAAGTCAGGAACAGGTGACTCTTGATTCGGTGTCTCACTGAAAGTGGTGAAGTCAGGCAACTCAACTGAAGATGTATCCTGAGGACTGGTATGACCTGGCAACAGCTGATCTACATGTCGCCGCCAGGTGAGATCCTCTACAGTCCTGACTGTGTAGGAAACAGGTCTGGTTTGAGCAATGACGGTGGCAGGGATTCATTTAGCTCCAGAAGTATAATTCTGAGCCAAAACTGGCTGTCCTGGGCTAAAGGTTCGGTCTTTTGCTCTGGGTGCACACCTGATGACTTGACCTTGCTGCTGACGTTGCACAATTTGTTGGGGTTCAGAAGGTTTCAGCAGATCAAAGCAAGTGCGCAGCTGTCATCCCGCCATTAGAAAGGCCGGGGATGCCTTGGTCGTAGCATGAGGTGTGTTTCTGTAGGATAGTAAGAAGGTGTCCAGATGCTTTTGAATGGATAATTGTCCTCTTGCTGATTTCAAAGCTTGTTTCATTGTCTGCACAAATCTTTCAGCTAATCCATTGGTGGATGGATGATATGGTGCTGAAGTGATGTGGTGTATCCCATTTGCCTTAATAAAATTTTGAAACTCCTGAGAGACAAACTGCAGTCTGTTGTCGCTCACAAATTGTTCTGGCAGAGTGAAACGACTAAAGAGTCCCCATAGTTTTTGGATAGTACTCTCTGCAGTAGTGGACTGCATTATAGAGACTTCTGGCCATTTAGAATGGGCATCTACCACCACCAAGAACATGCTTCCTTCAAGTAGGCCAGCGAAGTCAAGGTGAATACATTGCCACGGGTTTTCAGGCCAGTCCCATGGGTGTAGGGGTGCCCACTGGGGTGCATTCCTCAGACCCTGACATGACATACATGCTCTTGCCTTCTCTTCAATAGCACTGTCCAATCCAGGCCACCAAAAATAGCTTTGTGCAATTTCTTTCATGCTCACTATTCCAGAGTGACCAGAATGTAGCTGTTCTAACATCTGTGATATCAGTGGTGGTGGGATAATGACACATCTCCCCCACAACAAACAACCAGATTGGATCGATAACTCCGTCCTCCTGGATATGTAGGTAACAAGGTTGGGTGAGACTGGAGAGGTTCGTTGAGATGTTCTGTGCATCACCAGGTCCATAACTTGGGACAATATTGGGTCAACTCAAGTTGCCTTCTTTACCCGAGGAGCAGTGATGGGTGTATTCTCTACCTGTTCAAAGTAAAAGATTTCCTTCTGGGCAATATCTTGATGTTTGACTGGCAAAAGCAGCCTTGAGAGACCATCTGCATTGTCATGCAGAGTGGATTTCCGATATTTGATTTCATATGTGTGAGCAGAAAGCAACAATGCCCAGCGTTGCATACGACTAGCAGCTAATGGGGGGATGCCTGTGTGGGGTCCAAAAATTGAAGTCAGAGGTCGATGGTCTGTGAGAAGAGTAAACTTCCGTCCAAACAGATACTGATGAAACTTCTGAATTCCAAAAACGATTCCCAATGCCTCATGTTCGATTTGGGCATATTTAGTTTCTGCTTTGCTTAGACTGCGTGAAGCAAAAGCAATAGGTCTCTCTTCTCCCGAAAGCATAATGTGTGACACGACCGCTCCCACTCCATAAGGGGTAAGGATGGATCAAAGTGTGTCAGAACTTCAGAATTTAGCAATGCACCCTTAGCTTTGTTAAATGCAACATCACAGGCTTCAGTCCACTTCCAGGCGTTGTTCTGCCCAAGGAGTTCGTGAAGTGGTTTTAGCAGTGTGGCTAACTGAGATGAACGTTCCATAATAGTTTAATAGTCCTAGAAACAAGTGAAGCTGGCTAACATTTCGAGGCGAGGGAGCCTCCATAATAGCCTTAACTTTTGCAGGGGCCTTACGAAGACCCGTAGCATCAATGATGTGTCCCAAATATTCAAGGGGATTGGAAGAATTCACACTTGTCTTTGTGGACTCATAGGCCATACTCTTCCAGTCTTTGTAGGGTAGCATCTAAATTCTTCAGGTGATCCTCCTCATTCCTTCCAGTGACCAGGATGTCGTCCAGATAGCACTGGACTCCTGGCAAGCCACACAAAATCTGGTCCATAGCCCTCTGGAACAGGGTGGGAGCAGATGTTATTCCAAAGGGTAGGCGACAGTATCGATAAAGCCCTTTAGCATCACAATAGTCAACCGCTCTTGGGACTTTTCATCGACGTGCATCTGTAAATACGTCTGACTCAGATCAATCTTACTAAACATTTGTCCTCCAGCCAGGCCCACAAAGAGGTTATCAATGCGGAGAAGCGGGTATTGCTCTGCACACAACACTGGGTTGACAGTGAATTTAAAATCACCACAAATTCGGAGGGGGCCATCTTTCTTCACTATTGCAACGATAGGAGTTGCCCATGGGCTATAAGTAACTGGTATTAGGACTCCATTTGTGAGCAGGCGCTCCAGGTCCGCTTCAACTTTTGGCGTGATGGCATATGGCACAGTTCTGGCTTTCAGATATTTTGGTTGACTGTCAGGTTTAATGTTCAATGTCACAGTGATTCTCTTCATAATTCCCAGATCCTCTCCAAAAAGAGCAGCATGTTTCCTTAGTATAGCGGTCAGACCAGTTTCTTCTTTAGTTATTCAGTGCACTTCTGCCCAGATCAGCTGAATCTTTCTAAGCCAAGACCTACCCATTAAGGCTGGGTAGTTACCTCTCACCACAAACAGTGGCAATTTAGCAGCCGGGGGGGGGGGGGGGCGTAAAGAAATTCCAAAGGGGGGCACAAGGCTGTGAAATTTACATAACGAAAAAAATTTTTATCAGCGTAAAAAAATTTTTTTTAAATTTAATAGACCAACAGATGATAAATTATATATATTCTTTATACATAATAACTACTCATAAAATTGTCCAGTTACAGGCCTATATTATTTAACTACAATAAAGTATTAACAATCTTCTCATTTTTGATTATGAATATAATAGACAAGAATAAAGGTATAACAAAGTACAATAATAATAAAAATACAACTAAAAATAAAAGTATATAACTGTAATGTTTTCAAATTTCATACCACGAAATGTGAATTTTTTTTTTTTTTTTTGCCTTTCAACGTGTAGGAGTGCTGTTTCGGTCGGTGGGGAGGCTGAAGACCAATGTAGAAAGTGATGGAACTTTTTAAAACTTCCTAGCTTGCTCACGAGAGTGTTTGAGACTGTTCTATCATGGGAGTGGTTACCTCCACCAGTCACCGTGTAAGACCGGCTACTTGCCGGACTGGTGGTTGGGTATATATAGGGTAGCATGCGTCCATACGTAATAGTACTAATAAATAAACG